CAAACTCTTGGGCTTAAGTGATTCTCTTGCCTCAGCCTCCCAAGTAGATGGGACAACAAGGTGCCAGCTAGAACACCTGGCTACTTTTGCTGTTGCAGTTGTCATTGTTTAGCTGGCCCAGGCCGGGTTGGAATCCACCAGCCTTGGTGCATGTGGCTGGTGCCACAACCACCTTGCTACAGGCACTGAGCCCAGTCTCAACCACTTACTTGAAGGCTACATGCCTTAGTTCCCTACGCATAAAACAAAGATAACCTTCATAACAATACAAAGGCTTTTTATGAGGATTATACAAGTTTATCATTTATAAAGATTATAAATAAGAAAAAAGTATTTACTAATGAGAAGATAATAAGTAACATAAAAGTGTTAAGACATAGTTATGAAGACCTGGCTAGTCTACCGCTAGCTCAAATTTAACATGTTTCAAATTGAACTCTCCAACCTCCTCCTCCGCCTCATCTGAGCATAACCATGAGTGGCACTTGGTATGGGTGAAATTATTCCATTAGTACCCGGTCCCCAAACTCATGTGTTGAAGTCTTAACACCCAGTACCTCAGACTGTGACCTTATTTGGAGATGTCATTAGGGAAGCGATCAAGTTAAAATGAAGTCCTGAGGGTGAGCCTAAGGACTGGGGTCCTTATAAAAAGGGAAATTTGTACACACAGACGTCCAGACAGAGATGATGGTGTGCAGAGACATGGGGAGAGGACAGCTGTCTAGATCCAGGGAGGGGGGCTTGGGTCTACACGGGCACAGGCCGCGGGGTGAACCAGTCCTGCCAACATCTAGATTTTGGACCTGCAGCCTTCTGATCTTTGCAACAATAACTTTCTGTTGTTTTAGCCACACAGTCAGTGGCGTTTTGTTACGAAAGTTCTAGCAAAGGAATACAACACCATCAGCTCCTGGTGAACCATCTAAAATTCACAAAATGTTCCTTCTTCTTCATTTCCTGGCCACATCCCGCCCCAGTCACTCTCACGCATATACTCTGGTGTCTCAGCCTGAGCCCGCAGCATAGATCAGCATCCCTCTGTCTGAAAGGGAGTGACCACTGCCGGAGGCTCACCACCTGCGGGCACACTCTACAGCGAAACCTCTGGTCACGTGGTCCCTGTTCTAAGCCTAGCGCTTCTGTTTACTAAAGGTAAAGGGATGTGACCCTGACATTAAATGCCTTTGTTGTGTGATATAAACCCATTTTCACACAACATGTGCTACAGCCTCTGTTCATGTCCCTACTAATAATCCGTTCCCAACACTCGTTCTGCTCTGAGCGCTCAGTCAAGGCTGTGTCTCTGCTTTGACATTATCCTCACTTTAGCACGCATCTCCTTTGGAGTATCTCCTACAGGTCAGGTCCTGCGCTATGTGGGAAAGTGATCAGGAAATTGCCACATCTTGAGCACCTATGAGGTCAGGCCCTTTCCTGCAGAAGGCACATTAGAGGATCTCTCATTAAGCTACACTATGCTTTTAATATTTTAAAATCAATATATTATTCCAATTTTACAGATGAAAACATGGAAGCAATGGAAGCATCAGAAATGTTAAGTAATTAACCCACGACATATGACCAGAGAGCGGCTGAGAAGGACCTATATTTGTCAGCTACATACCGCTTTTGTAAATTCCTACCCCGACAGAAGTGCAGTTCACAGATGCCTTCTCAATGACGCTATCTTTGATCTCCCCAGCCTGAAATGACCACAGATGCTTCAAACCCTTCTACTGGATTTTAACTCTCTAATTCATATTGCACGTCTCTATGTATTTGTGCTCAATCTTCTAGAAGATTTTGTTTTTCATGAAGGAAGCAACCAACTCCTATAACACTGGAAATATTCTATCATAGAAAAATCAAGTTGTTCATTGAGTTTCTCTAAGTTACGTGGCAATCTTAAACATTCAAAATGTTCTGTTTTCCTTAAAGTACATAACAGAGTCCCCCATTAAAATAAAAAGTTGTCATTACTGAGAGTTTCCCCTAGTTTTCCTCTTATTAGTGGTTTATAGTCTGCTACAAGTTTTTGGTAATTATGTTACCGAGTGTCAAAGAACTTCCAACACATTCAATTTGAAGGCTTTGTAGAAGTACTTTGGGAGCGAACAGAAGCACAATGACAAATTGAGGAAAAAAGTATTAATCAAACAAAGTCCTTATAATTAAAAGCATTAACAATAAAACCCATGTGAAAGTGCGTTATACCATGACCGGGCCTATACCTATATAAAAACTTTACATAGGCAAAAATGATGCCACAATAACTCCTTTGCCAAGCAGTAAATAGCAGGCATTTTAGAACATAGAGTTGTTACACCTATCACTGGGAAGTCTTAATGTATTTTTATAAAGTTTCAGAGCTTCTAGCCAAATGAACAAATATAATTAAAAATTTGAGGAGGCAGCATCTAAAATGTACAATGCTCATCACTTTGTAGAGTTTCATATACTTTTAATTATTTGTCTTGGTACAGAGTTCACAGAGAAGTAAATCTGCTATATATTTTTGTAGAAGTAATCGTGTTTAGGGAATAATATCTTGATTTAAGTAAATCTTTTCTCAGAAGCCAAACGTTAACTTGCAACATTAGTCAGAGAACTGTGCACTTGTGAATTTGTTCTTGAACTTGCTAGATTCATTTAGGTTGACAGAACTTTTAACGTCCCATGAGCCTTTGTACAATGATCCCAACTAAGTGCCTAACTATGCAACCATTCTCAGCTCTCAGCTGGACAGTAAGGGGTAAACGACATGAGCAAGGAAGTCTCTGTGCTGCCTTCATTAGTGTTAATGAGAATTGTGCACTTAACCCCTCGCACTGCTCTTAATTCTCGACTGCTCTGTGGGTCTACTCTGAAGCATTTAGTTTTTACACCCTACCCACTGCCATGAAAATGTTTACTCACCTCTGTTATGAAGGATTTGGCTGTGGCAGGATTCATCACAAGGATGGCTCGCCTAAGAGTGTCTCGATAGCGATTCAATTCCTCTATCCTCATGGTGTCAAAGAGAGTGGTGATCATTTTATTGATATTGTTTTCTACCTTCTGAAGTGCAACATCCATCCCCTGCTGAGATACTTTGTCCAAAAATTCCTGTATTCCACGGATATCTAGAAAGAGCAAAAGGCCAAAAAAATGTGAATTACAGAGCAGAAGGAAGACACCAGCTGTTTCCCTCACATCAGAATAGCTTAGTGTTCAATATCGCAGGCTGTCGGAAATTACTGAGCAGCTGATGAAACTCTCAGATACATTTAAGGTTTTGTATGTTTTAACATGTTTACAGAAAAAATGTAAAAATTACTAGTATTTGTTATTATTATTTTTTGAGACAGAGTCTTTCTTTGTCCCCATGTGTAGAGTGCCATGATGTCATTATAGCTCACAGCAACCTTAAACTCTTGGGCTTGAACAATCCTCTTGCCTCAGCCTCCCAATCTCCCTCCCTGGGACTAACAGTTGCCTGTCACAATGCCTGTCTAGTTTTTCTAGATTTAATAGAAACAGGGTCTTGCTAGTTCAGACTAGTCTCAAACTCCTGAGCTCAAGCAATCTACCTATCTCAGCCTTTAAGAGTGCTAGGATTATAGCGTGAGCCACTGCACCTGGCTATTTTACACTTTTACTCCTAGTTACGCATATGTATAATAAACCCAGGATGTTAGAATCAAAGCAGGTTAAAAGAACAAAAGTCTTGGCTAGAGCAAAGCATAAGATATCAAAGTTGAAATGATAAAGGTATTCAATATTTATTCAATATTGACTTCGGACAGTACATAAGGGTATAAGACCATGAAGCATACGAGGGCATATTCATCCTCACACTGAGACAGTCAGCAAACAAACTTATAAACACAAATCCCACTGAATGCTTGCAAGGAAAACTATAAGGGTGCTTTGGTGGATAATAATAGGGCGGGAGCACACTATGGGAAGATTTCTTTGGAAAACTTGTCTTTAAACTGTGTTCTAAATCATGAGAAGACGCTACCCAGGCTAAGAGATGGGGAGAGAAGACCATAGCTCAGAAAATCCCCAAGGCAGTGACGGGCTTGTGTGTGAAGAATTCCCAGGACTCCAGTTTGGTGGCAGCCTAGCTCGAGTGAGGTGTAGCTGGATGGAGCGGGAGGGTCAGATTATGCAGACCGCTGTGAGACACAGACAAAGGCTTTGCTTTTATTCTAGATAACCCTTTCAATCGATATAAAGTGTTACTTAAAGGATCTGCTTTAAGTGGACGAGCCTTTATGTGTGCAGAATAAAAAAGTAGTTTAAGTCTGGAAGTGACTAGTTTGATTGTATGGTTCAAACGGAGCTGGTTAGTTAATTCCCTTTGATTTGAAATCATATGACACTGTTTTAGCTTTTACTTTTGATCAGAAGGAGCTTGTATGTTGTTATTTGGTCAGAAAAGGGATGTGATGCAAAATCACTCTGACTCTTCTGCTTCTTTACTCTGGAATTCTAGTTGTCGCTTAGATGATCGTATAATTTTTCCTGATCTGTAAATGAAGATATGTTTATCTTATAGAAGCCCTCAATGATTAAATTAGCAAGGTGGGCTATGGGCATGTGTGTGCATGTATATGGTACTATTATTGTTAATAATAGTAGATAACTCTTAAGAAACCAACCCTCGCCCCCCACCCCCCATAAGTAAGATTCCCTAAATTTTACTACTGGCTAGCTACTAGCAACCATAAAGTACAAGGTAGACTCTTGGAATGTAGGAGTTAACAGAAATAGTTTTGCCTACTTGAACAAACGATACCAAATGGCACTGAATGCTCAACTGTGGAAACTGATAACTTCCATGAGAGATGAATCTGAATTACAGTGTCTATTAGCTACTCTGTAAAAAAAAGAGTCATTAACAGAGACAGTGAGGCTTTGGTTTTGTTAATTGAACAAGATCATAATCACTCATCACAATCTTTCAGCTTCATCATTTGTACGCTGATTAGCTGGCAGGCAGTGAGCTAAGTTCACATGTTACAGAAATAAAACAGACATGGTGTCTGATCTCAAGGAACCTCCAAGCCAGTGGGTGTGTCTAGGTGTTATTTACTAATCACAAAAGGCTTAAATGTACTTTCAGTACTTTCCAATTTTTTTTTTTTTTTGAGACAGAGTCTCACTTTGTCACCCTTGGTAGCTTGGCATAGTGCTGTGGCATCACAGCTCACAGCAACCTCCAGCTCTTGGGCTTAGGTGATTCTCTTGCCTCAGCCTCCTGAGTAGCTGGGATTTCCAATGATTTTTAATTTTACTGACTAGATAATTACACAATAGCAAGTGATGGAAGACTCATAAATTGAGTTATTAAACATAAGATATATGTGTGGGGGGAGAGACATTTTTTCCTAGCCATTATAAAGGAATTTGTGGTAGGCAGAATAATGACCTTTCAAAAATGATTGTATACGAATCCCTGTAATCCCAAAAGTAACTAATATAAAGCAGAAGCAAGCCAGATGCTCCCCAGACTTTCTGACTATACGAATCAATTAAAAAAAAATAAAGCTAGTCTGAAGGGAGCTTCTGCCACTTGGAAAAGAAAAGGTCTTGACTAATATTTTTTTAAACAAGCACCTGTTAATTTGGTGATGAAGATGAAGGTATATTTCCTGTCCTTGAGATGCTTCAGTTTAGTGGAGGGATAGACATTTAAAGGAGAAATTATATTTTCATGTGATAGGGGTAATAAAAGCAGTGTACCGACAACAACAAAAACGGGTGCATAAGGGAAACAGCAACTCTCCACAACTTACCTAAGCAAAAAATAACATTTCACCTAATTACTGGGTTATTCGAATAAAAGGAATCACAGTGCGTGAAATATTAAAGAGATGTGTAAACTGCAAATTTCTATGCAATGTACATTTTCATTATCAAGAATTTCTTAACCCCAGCCAAAAGTCATAATTGTTCTTAATTTTCTTCTGCTATCTTTTTTTTTCCTATAGAATATGCAAGACAATCTTGACAAAAGTTAAAGGTTAATCTCTGTAACATGCTCAGAACTTGACATTCCAGTACCTGCCAAATTCTGTGATTACCTGAATTGTGCTGCCTACTTAGGCCAGCTTCCCACAACAGTCTTCATAGATACAGCAGCTGATTGAAGCTTAGTGATTCATTTTATTAAATCATGTAAAATATTAACTTTACAATGTGATCTCTAAAGTAGATTGATTTTAATCTCTCTATTAAGAAGAGTTTATATTAAAGTATATTAGATTTTAAAAAATCCCAGGAACTATTAGAATTTAATGTATAAACATTTCCAACCTGACCCCCTAAAAAACTTTTCATCAGAACTATGTTACACCATTGTTTGTTCGATACCAGTGGTAGCATCCAAATAGCTCCCTTCTGAATGGAGTCTCAGCTTATTCTGTGCCAAGCACTGTGACAGGTGCTTAGAAGAGAATGTTGAGCAGAACGAACACAGTGCCTACCCTCATGGAGTGCACTGTCTATACCCTGGGAGGATAGCACAGACCATATTACAGAGAGAGGAGTCTTGCAGGAATGCTCATTATCCCATGTATTACACTTGAAATTGGACTAAATTTAGTGGCATTCTCTTGAATATATCAAAATAGTAATTCTTAATTTGATCACTGTGTTCACCTTTAAAATACTGAATTACATGTGAAAAGAGATCTGTCACTAAGTCCTTGGGTCTGATTTTTTTCCTCTACTCATCTGTTCCTCCTTTGTGTAGATTAGGGACATTTAATCATTTTGATAATGTCAAGCATCAGAGGTCTCACGTGGAACAGGAAGGCTTCAGGACTGTCCTCAGCCACTCTTGGGGTTTCTGAAATTATGACGGAATGTCAACCTTTAAAATTAATGTGTAGAACCTTGTGACTTTTTTAAGATATAAAGGAATATGTCATACCGTGGCATACAGGAAATTCTTTATTGAGTTGAGTGAATTTTTCCAACACACGGATAGCAAAGCATTCTGTATAAATGGCTTGCTTCATGGGAACATAGGATGCTTAATCATTGAGTGATTTAAAACATTTTGCTTAGAAGAATCCTCACTTCAAAAAGAATTAGATTCATTTATCGAGTAGGTTTTGGCCTTTTTGCTTTATTTTTTTACTTTTCATTTAAAAAATAAAGATAATCATATACTCTATTGGATTTTGAGGTGACACAGTCTAGAATAGTGACCCACCATTGAGATTTTTCCATCTGATGAAAACTTGAGATTTGAACATGAGATCACAGTATTTCACTATGAAAGACATCTTTCCATTGATGTTTATCAATATTTGTTAAGGGCCTTTTACCAATAAATAAATCTAAAGTGGTATAATACGCTTTTTTATTTTTTACCTACTTGACATCCTATGTACTAATGCAAAGGAAATAGTTGAAAAAGATGCCTGGATTAATTACATGCTTGTTGGTGCTCATGGAAGTAAATGAGAGAACTGAACAGCTGGAAAGTAGCCAAATGAGTAATAAACAGTTTTAAGACTGTCTAGAGAGAAAGTCAGTAATATTACAGTCATCAGACATTTGAAAACACTCTCAGGGTAATCATAAACATTTGCAATCAATTAACAAGAATGTGTCCATTTCATGGGCCTTGATTAAACCTCCATCAGAATACACGGGATAAATGTGGTGGTTCCCAGAAATGCATTTATGAGGATGGCCATTCAATGCTTCTTTCAAAGGGGGCTCCCATGTGGCAATTAAATTGTAAGGAAAAGTAATATCAGAATGCTGTTGCTTAAGTGGCCCAGATCTTTGCCTACGTACTGAGTTTTAGTTTGAGATCTGTAAATCAATGTTTTCAGTATGCAGATGAGACCATAAAAAATGCACTCATTAGTCCCTGAACTTGAATTTTTCTTCTGTGTCACGGTTGGCCAGAAGTGTATATGTCTACCTCGTGTATTTGATCCAGTCATTTCCATGCTAACATAGTATATTGTGTTAACACTCATCATGCATACTTAGGTCTCTGATTTTCAGAAAGTGTTTCACAAATGACAGATTTACACATGGTCAAAAATCTTTTGAAGAACAGATGGACTATCCTGAAACTATAAGAAAAATATTAGAAAGACTAAGCCCATAA